TTGACACATTGATATGAGGCAGCAGACTGTTTTGCAGAGAAACTACACTAGGCTGTGGAAACAATGAAATGCTATTAGTTTCAAGCTGTGGTGTATGCATACTCCTGCTCAGTTTTAGTACAATTAAGAACCACATTGTGAAAAGGATCTAGTTTTCTCTCAGCAACTGGGGAAAAATATTTGTATTTCCTGTCTTTGTATTATTTTGACCATAGAAGTAGAAGCAAGCCACAAAATACTAAACTTGTATTACTAGACTAATTTCATCTGCTTTTTTTTTTGAACTTACACAAAAATTATTTCAGATGATTCCCTAAAATTAATTGGATAACAGGTAATTCTCAAACTTACATAGAAAAGGAGATTCTTCATTTGTTTATAGCTACACTGCAGAATTGTTTCTGCTGCTTCTGTGCAGGTGGGGATTGGCAATATGTGTTTATCTGAGATCTTTGGCATTGATCTTCCCACAGAGAATAGCTCTTCTTTTCTCCAGTTTTCAGTATCCATATGCCAAGGTAACAACTTCTTCTTGGGTGTAACTTAGCAACAGTAAAGTATGTCCTTTGAACTATACTGTTTCCCTTTTTAATTTTTTTTTAATGAAACCCTGAAATGTTGCAGGGGGGTTGTTTTAGCATTGTCATATTCAGTGGAGTTTTTCTATCTTCTCCTTTTGGACAGCTGTGAGTTTCCATTTCCTTCCCCATGCCAATTATCTGTAAAGGAACATCGAATGGAGGCTGACTATCTTGTGAGATTTGATGCTTGTTCTTGATGGAGGATGTAGCAAAGAGAAGTACTGCTTCAGTGACATGGCTCTCTCCACTGTTCATCTAGTTGTTCAGTCAACTAAGGTATAATTACAGGCTAATTAGTTATCACAAATATCATTGCATGCTATTGTGCATGGCATAAAAATCATTCAAGGAAGGAAGAAACAAAAGTTTGAGGTCTGTCCATTTTGTATTGCAAACTGTTTGTAATGGCTGTTTTAGGCAGAACTTGTCAATCCCTTGACATGCACTATTACCAGTTCAACTATTATTAGTCCATCTATACTTTGATTAGGAATCTAATAATGTTTATGCTGAATAGAATTAATATATTGAAATCCAATGTAGAAATAGAGGCTGAAGATTAGTGGACATTAAAAAGAATTTTTAAACAGGAAACTTAGCAGTTCTGAAAATACTGAAAACACCTTGGGATTTAAATTTGGTAATGTTCAGAAAAACAGTGAAGGATACAAGGTATTGAGCAAAATCAGGGTGTTTCAAATGCTGCCCGATAGCAAGTTAGATACATTCTGGCAGGATTTGTTTCTCCTTAGTTTCTTTTTCCTTCTTAGCTAATGTTCGTGCAAAAATCCCATTAGCTTTAATGGAAAAACTCAAAACTACTCCCATGTTTTTTATGTATTTATTTAACTATCAATCTTTTTTGGGAACCAACATTCACTAAAAATGACAGCAATACTTGGAATTTTAGCCCCAAAAATGTATTGGAAAAAAACCCCAAATAATTGAAAACAACCACACAAAAATACATATTTTGTTCTGGTTTGGGTTTTGATTAAAGAAAAAATGCATATCTGGAAAGGTATGCACTGTAAGCAGTGCTAAGCTAGGCATGTCTGCAAGGCCTGCAGGATCAAATAATTGTTCAACATTGCTATTGTAAAAGATTGTGAAAGGTGGGGAAATAATGTGGGGTCTAGGTTTAAGTACGTGGCAGGGATTTTTTTCCAAAACTGCTGCATGATTAAAGTAGAAATTTAAGAAAAGTAAATCATGTTGAGCAATTGTGTTATATATGACTGCTTTGGATGTTTTTCGTCATCCATATTGCAAAATATCATCCAACTCCAAACGTTATTCAAGAATTCTTAATGCAGGTTGTCCACGCTTTTCCAAAAAACTGGCTCATGCACAGAGCGCACGAGAAAGAACATTTTACTTCATCCAGCTGCCTCAACAAAGAAACTAGCAGAGAAAACGTGGAGCTGAGGTTTGGTCAAAGCCAATGGCCTTTAAGGATGCGATACATCCTCCCGGGGTCTCCCCTCCGCGCCCGGTGCCACCGTGCTGCCCCGAAAAACACCAAAGCACCCCCGGGGAGCGGACCCGAACGGGACCGGACCCGAACGGGAGCGGCGGGGGAGTGCGGGAGAGTGGAGGGATGGGGCCGGAATGGGGACGGCGGCAGGGTCGGGGACAGGATGGGGACGGGGACAGGATGGGAACAAGGCCAGCCCGGGATGGGGACAGGATGGGAACAGGGCCAGCCCGGGATGGGGACAGGATGGGGCCCTGCTGCCCTCTGCCGGCTGCCGCCCGGGGCCCCCCCGGCCCCGAGGGGCTCCGCAGGCTGCGGGAGATGCGGATGCTCCCTTAAGGGTCTCGGTGGTCTCGCTAAGATGGATTTCGAGACGGGAAAACCCACACTCCCTGCACGGGGAGCGGTAGAGCTGCTGCGTCCACTTGAAGATGGGGCTAAGTAAATCGGTTTGGGGCTCTTTCTGGGTTTATGTGCAGCAGGGAAGTTTTGCAGCAATTACCCCAATCTTTTTTGTCTATCACATTCAGTTTTGGCACTTGCAGAGGGTGTTTTAGGGACAATCTAACAGGATATGCTCCTTTCTGGACAGACACCAAACAGCTACCAGTACCAGAGGGAATGTAGCTGTACAGACCAGTTCTGTATGAATTTTAATCATTGCCATGTTTGAAAAACCTTCCCTAACTGCATATAATGTAGATGTAGGGACCCCTTGGTTACTTCTTTGATCTGAGCTGCTCCTTTTGTGACAGCAAACACAGCCAATCTGAAAAATGCCATGACAAACAAAAGCGTTGCACCAAACCATCTTTCAAACTTCTGAGGTAGGGACTCTTCCTCCTTACACAGTGCCCACGCAGGGATGGAAAGCAAGAGTGCAACAGGTACATAAAAGCAACAGCTTTATGTGTATTTGCAAACAAGTCACTGACTTCAGTTTGGATGTTCAGCAGGTTTGCTGGGTGATTCTGGTACCTAGGCACCTGTAGACAGTACCCACAAATAGTGTCATATAGCTGATCTGCCCTGTACTGGACATCAGCAGAACATATTTTTTACATGTATCACCCCCTCCATTTAATTGATGCACAGCTTTTCAATTATAGGGATGGCACACACGTGTTTATGTTACTTGTCAAACCAATGGCAGCATTTCCCACTGCTGCATTCTGTGTTACAGACACTTCCAAATTCAAATGTGTGAATCAATACGCTTGTTGGCACTATTACTGATACGATATTTGCCTATCTAAAAGGTCTTTTTTTTCCAGAAAAAAAATTGTTTTTAAAGTTCAGGTTTGAAGGTAAATTCTATTCTTATTTTTTGCATCAGTATATAAAGAGCTCAAATTCAGGAGAGCTGCTCTTTATCTGTGTAGTGTCTGAGAACATCATGTCTCATGTCATTTCATGAATTATTAGCCTGAAGGTGTAGCTACTCTGGGAATCATCCCCAACTCTACAGCCTTTTTTATGGCATTTCTGAAGATGATCCAAAGATGAGTTTGTATCTTATGTAACTTTATATACACTGGCACAGATCCCCAAAATAATACAGTGGTAGCAATGTATTGGCAAAACCTACCAAGGAACTAGAGAAAACACACAGATATTCATTTAGAAGAAAAAATTAGCTCGTGCAGAGCTCCATACTATCACAGCTGGGCTGTGGATTCCCCGGAGGGACAAACTGTGGAGGTTTATTTCCATTTATTCTATACCATTTTGTAGTGCTACGGGAAGCCATAGGAAAACATAATCTCCCTCAGGAGCAGTTGGCCGGGGAATTCTACTTCAATTGAAGGTCAAGGCAAAGAATCAAGGAACTGTTGGGCATTTCATGTAGGATCTGGTCTGGCAGAGCTGACAGGTATCCCTGTCCCAGGCAGGTGTTCTAGAACCTGGTAGGTCACCAGACCTGCAGAATTTAGCATGGGCTACAACCCCTGTGTGTTGGAGCCTTTACTGCTGCTGCTGTACAGGGGATTTTAATTTTGACAAGTCAGTGTTTTTAAAATAAGTAATGCTCAGTCAAAAAAACGGTGAGCCAGTTAACAAGTGATGTACTTGCTATGCTTTTCCAGTAGCAAGGGGAACAGTAAATGAATCAGCTTGAATTAAAAAAAAAAACAAAAACCCCAAGAAATTTCAAACTGTTCTTTGTTGTATTTGTAGGGGAAAAAACCTAAAAATACCAACCGAAAAAACAATGCTGTTTCTCCTCATTCATATATAAGTGATAGCAAAGGGACTGTGTGAGAGCATTGCAAAGATACTCTGAAGAGTTTTTACGTATGAGTCCGTGGATGGAAGAAAGCTGAAGCTAATGAATCAATAAATAGAATTTTCTGTAACTGTTCTTCTGTCGATAGCTATTGTATGTGTGCTGGCCGGCTTCCCAAAGCGGCATCGCAGCTAGCGCTGAACTGGACACATACTTGGTGTCGCGTTCCCGCGGTAGCATGTGGAAGAGATTAGATAAGCGCGGTGGCTCCTGCTGCGGGGAGTTATTCACGCCTCGGAGCACTTGAAAGGTATGCTGATCCTCACACCTCGGTGTGAGCGCTGCCAGGAGCCGTCCGGGGAAGCTGCGTTATCAGAAAGCACACACTGGCACAGCCACATGGCTGCCCTGTTCAAAATCGGTCCCTTCGCTTCTTCTCTGCTGCGGCCCTCGGTAGCCTCAGAGAAAACGGCAGCTGCGGTCGGATGCTTTGATGGAGGCTCCTGACGATCGAAGTGGGAACCAAGAAATCCAAACTACCCATAACTTTTTCAGCCTCATGAAATTTTCTTTATTGGAAACTGCATCGCGAGTGTATTTTACTCCTGTTGGGTTTGAGGTTTTGGTTGTCTGGCTTTTGAGGTTTTTTTGGTTTTTTTTGGTTTTTTTTGAGGCTCAGTAAAACCACTCGGAATAAAAGCCAGCCTTTTAAGGCATGTACATATCACGGGCTGGGCGACGTGGGATAACACAGCCAAGAAACGCCGGCGGGAGAGCCAGAGCCGGTGGGAGCCGCGGGGCAGCCCCCGCCTCCGTCCCACCGCCGCCCCGGGCAGCCGGCAGGGGCTGGAGGAGCGAAGGAGTTAAAGGGAGGCGCTTGGGAAATCTGATGCTAACGAAGCCCCAGGAATGTTGCCCATTTCCATTCCCCTCCAGCTTTCGGAGGAGGCTGGTCCCCGCTGCGGGCAGCCGCTCCGAGGAGCACAGCCCCGAGGCCGCGCTTGCTCCGGGCGCCGCCCCGCACCTTCCCGCAGGTTACGCCGGGGAGGGACGGGACGGGACGCGGGTGAAAAGTTTTTCCCGGATTTGGGATGCTGCAAAACGGAGGGAGAGAGGGGTGTGGGGGGCGGGGTTCCGCGGCTCCGCGCACCCCGGCCTAGGGCGGAGGGACAGGGGCATCTGCCCTGACCCGCTGCGGCCTCTCTTCTCTTGCAGGCGCGGCCAGAGATGCCGGCGAGACGGCTGTGGTGGGCGCGCTGCTGGCTGGGCGTCTGCCTGTCGCTGCTGGGCGCGGGGGGCGGCTCGGCCGAGCCCTGCCGCGGAGCCCCGTGCGAGGGCGGCTCCGCGCCCCCGCCGCCCTGCCGCGGACCCCGCTGCGGCGGCCGGGCCGGGCGCCCGGCGCGCTCCTTCCTGCACAGCGCCGCGCCGCTGCGGCCGCCGCACGGCAAGGCAGCGCCCGCCGCCCCGCTGCCCGCCTGCCCCGGCGGGGACTGCGCCGCCAACGCCACCCGCCGCGACTGCCAGGGCCTGGAGTGCCGCCTGCTGCCGCTCCGCCCGCGCCCGCGGCCCCGCGGCCCGGGCTGCGCCGCCCCCGCCGAGGGCTGCCCCGAGCCCGCCCTGCTGCGCGCCGCCGACACAGCCGCCCAGTTCGCGGGGGACGAGATTGCCCACGCCGCTCCCGAGCGAGGCGGCGGCGCCGCGGGGGTGCAGCTCACCTGCGACGTCAAGCCAGGTGCGGGGCGGCGCGAGGGGCCCCGGGGGCGGGAGGGCGCACCCCGCACCATCACCGCCCGTCCGTGGCACGCAGGGCTCCTGCAGCCCGCCGGGGCTCAGTGCGGTCACGGAGAGCCGCAGCCAGAGGGTGCTGGGTCTTCTCGAGCCGGGCAGGTGTCTGCTGGTCCAAGGGCTTCAGCACCTCTGAGAGCCCGCACGCAGGGGCACCTGAGCGACTGCATGAGAGCTCCTTGTTTTGGGAGAGTTAGGAAGAAAATCTGGCACTGGTCTTCATACCGTGTGTGGGAGTTGCTGCTGTGGCTCCTCTCTCTGCTCCCGTTCATCTCCCCTCCATTAACACATGCACCTAGGAGACCTAGAGCTGATGAAATGTGGCAGAATCTTTTTTAGTGCTATTTTAAAACAAGATTAAGTCTGTCTCTTCACAGTCTGGTACTGCTAGTGTTCTTAATTTATAGCAACATCGTAAAACACTTCTGTGGGGTGGATGTATGCTCCATATCCAGCCTGGTGCCATTGGTAAGAAAGTTGCTATTGCTGCCAAACTGTCTTTCTGTAATAGCCAGAGGAAAAAAGTTGTAAAACATCTCTTACAGTGCTTTGTTCAGAGCACTTGCCTGTCCATTGACAAGCGCAGCTCTGGTGATTTTGGTATCCCTGTAGGAAGCCAGGTACGTTTGTGGTTATACTCATATGTCAGCAGAAGGTGTCTCTAATTGTCAGGGATTTGCAGATTTTCTGTCACGAAGAGCACCAAGTCACGAAGCAACAAGTCCTTAATAGCCTCAAAACAGTTTGGATTCTGGTTTAATGCCTTGTCTGAAATTTAGGAAATATATTAGGTAGGGTGATTTATTTCCCATTGATGCTAAAAGCTAATAAAAAGCGTGAAGAAGGTAATTTAAGCTATGTCAAGTCTGCATGGCTAATATGAGTGCCATGGCTGCTTCAGACACCAGAGCATATGCTAAGCCTACAAGTTATCAAAGTCTACTTAGTGAAGTGACATCTCCTCCAAAGGAGACTGCTGCACTTGGTGTTTCCAGTCCCCCCGTGCATAATGCAGTGACACTGTCTACCTTCATTTTACTGAAACTGTCCCCAGATGTCTTAGAGAATCTCTGTATGCTCAGTGACCAAAGGTGGACAGAAAATAAGTCATTATGGTTAACCTCCCTTTTCTCTGCTTCTGTGCACAGAACCTCTTCTTCGTACTGTCATCATAAATGCCATGCCTCCGTTTTGCTGAAGAATCCAGGATATTTGCATTTTCTTTGTCCATACCAAAGTCTTTCTCTGTGTTATTCGAGCCTTGGCAAATAGCGAGAGCATTCTGCTTGTACAGGAAGATCAATTCTTTTGGATAGTGTTGAAAACAGACATGTATCCCTGTTCAAGTCTTACAAAGAGCATCCAGCTCAGCATAACCTCTTTCTCACATAATCTTCTTCTCTGGCTGTCTCTGGTCAGTCTGTGCTGCCCAGTCTCCAATACCATCAGCAGTTACAGCTAACATGATGAGTTACATGCACCTCTCATCTCCTGGGCCTTAGGTTTGGGTCCTCTGTCCCCTCTGATGTGCGTCAGAGGAATTAAAGCTAAAGGGTCAGAGGGTGAAGATGTTTGGAGACTCAGAGATCACTCTTTCAATTTTATGGTCTTTGCAGGCCTGATGCTGGGTGAAGTCTTGGAGCTTAGAAGTTTCCCTTAAAAAATCCTTGAATGTGTGAATGGATTATGGGCAGTGACGATCATGGGTTTGGGCATTCATCTTGCTATGGCAGAGAGAAATGCCCTACATATTACTATATATTGGAGAGAAAGTAGGGTGCAACACTGCCCACTAAACCATGTAATCTCATGGAAGGCACTGTTGACATGGAACACACAGTGAACAAACCTGTGATAATACACAAGCTTCTAGGACCACTACACCCTCAGAAGTTCTCCTCTTGCTCTGCTATTTCCTTGTGCCCACTGCTGTACTTGGTGTGAATGAGTCTTGCTGCAGACATGTTTTTTTTCTGACTGGACAGAGGACATATATACATGTTTTGCCCATTCCAAAGACAGGACCCAGATCTTCTTAAGGCAGCATTCTCTCCTAGGAGTGGAAGAACAACATACTGAATCCATCAACATCTAGGAGAAATTCCATGTATTTGGCGTCAGGAACAAAAAATAAGGCGTATTGACTGTCTTTGATTTCCTTCAAGTCAGTTTATAGGCAAGCATTCAGCATTCTGCTCTGCTCAAACATCTGTGTTTCCCTTTGACCTTCTTTTGAACACAGGTCAGTGAGTTTCCTACAGTAGTGCAGAGGAATCCCCATTGGCAGCTAGAGTCAAATCTTGCAAATTAGCATGGTTTGTATAGCAATTCTAGCATGGCTTGTCTACTGAAACAAGCAAAACAAATAATGTGATAATCAGATCTCTAACTGGGGGAAATGCATTGACAATTGTCTGGGGAGAGCTGCAGCTCAAACAGATGTAGTGTCCGTGACAAGGGGGAGTGGCTTCCACCTTAAAAGAGAATACTTGTGGATAAGATATTAGGAAGCAATTCTTTACTGTGAGGGTGGTGAGGCACTGAACAGGTTGTCCAGAGAATTTGTGGATGCCCCACTCCTGCAAGTGTTCAGCACCAGGTTGGATGGTGCTCTGAGCAAGCTGGTCTAATGCAGGGTGTCCCTGCCCATGGCAGGGGCATTGGAACTAGAGGAACTCTTAAGATTCCTTCCAATGCAAGCCATTATTTGATGATTCAAGAGACATGTCAGTGACTGTTCCTGTCTTTCTCTGTTTTTAGGGGAACATTTCTGTCAAGGTAGCATTTCAGCAGATCACTAATACCAGCTGAATGGGATTTTTTTTGCCATTGACCTCCCCTCAGACAGCAGGGGAGCTGGAATATACTGCCTAGGTGACCCAAAGGCCATTTTTCTACCTGCATTAATTCACCATACACAAGTGGAGACCTGGTGGCTCACCCCAGCCTATGACTGCCAGCTTTGTGACTGAACAGATTTGCAGTGATTCTTTAGTAATTAAAATATCCCTGCTCTAGTTAACCTGCTGTAAAAAACAGTGTTTTGGTGAACCGAATAGTCTGTTGTTCAGTCTGTTAAAAATCCCCATTCATACAAGGTGCAGTCTACTCAGATGCTTGCTGAAGGCCATGCCTGATGCCAGCCCTCCAAGGTACAGGCCAGTACCAGGGACTCAAGCTGATTGCCAGCATGGTGTCCGTGTTTGCAGGCTCGTGTGTGAGGCAGGTGACTGTCACTGTGCACCAGCTGCCTGTCACAGCCAGCACAGCCCATCTGCTGGGGTTACACAAACATCTCCATCATCTTTTCAGTATCACCAGCACCACACCTACTGTCTGGAAGACTCCTGCCAATTGCAGCTGAGCCACCACTTCTTTTGGCCAGGTGAAGATGCTGCAGTGCACACTCGTAGTCCCATTTCACATCAGATGAGTCCGATGTCCCTGCTGTTTTTCAGCAGCACTGTGAGTGCACCTTACTTCAGATGAAAGACTGGCATCCCAAAAGAAGGAATGCACACAAAATGGGTTTTGTTGTCTTATCTTGATCTTTGTTTTCTCAAATCTGGCATATACTGCGAACTACCTTAATATTTCAGTTAGGGCTGAAAAATAAAAATTAATGTGTGCGTTATGCTGTGAGTAAAACTAACCAAACAGCAAAATATTTTGGGAACTGTAAACAAGAACTGGATATGGTCTTTGTTCATTTTGTCACCCTTCATGTTCTATGCTTATAAGAATAAAAATCCATGCTGCTTAAGAACAGATGAATGATTATATGGGTTGAGGATTCTCTCTGGCAGTGTCCAGCAGCAGATACTGTAGAAAGTACAGCATGATATTTTCCTAGATCATTTTCCCAGCTCCAACAGTTTGTTGCTTAGATTTTCCGAATCTGATCGATGTCTGTCTTTAAGCCCCAAACTGATTTTATTTTTGAAGTTTTAGGGTGTATGGAACTGCTGCCTTCATTTAATATCCTTTAATTCTTGTTTTGGAAGAAAGACTGAAGAGTCTTCCCATATTTGCTTGCTTTAGTATACCTGTAATGTAGCACAGTTGTTTGGTTCCTTTGTTTTTTTTCCCTGATCCTGAGAAGTCTTACCTAGTTTCTCCTATTGCAGCAGTATCATGTTAGATTTTCCTTGCTTTTTGTGAACTTGTGAGTTTTTCTATACTCCTTTTTGAGATGGAGAGCCAGGACTGCATTCTGTATTCAGATGCTCTATTGATTAATGTAATGTCATAATGATATATTATCTTCTGTTATGTGTTCTTCTTCTAATTAATCCTAGCATTTTATTTGCCTTTCTGACCTCTGTTGGGCACTGAAGTAATGATTACATTGCTGTGTAGCCCAACATCTATATCGAGATATATTACTTCAAGATCAATTCCAAGGGGCAATAATAATCTACAAGTATGACATTTGAACTAAAAAACTTGAATTCTTTTTTCAGTGAGAACCTCAATTCACCTTTATCTCCTCTGAACTTCTTTTTTGTCATTTTATTGCTGCTACTCAATATCATAGACTCGTTTTGCAGCTCTTTGCAATTGACCCTTCCTTTTACTACCCTTAATAGCTTAGTATTTGCAGCAAGTTTTATCACTTCATTTTATTACTTCTACAGTGAAAATTGGCCATTTACTCTTTACTGTGTTTGAACATGTACATAGGAATTATTAATCTGTTATTGATGTGGTGATTAATTTATGCCCTGAAGCAGGGGCAAATGATGATTTCAGAAGCTACTTATGAAATGGAAAACCTTGTGGTTCCATGAAGGGGCTACAAGAGATAGTAAAGGAACTGGCCTTATAATAATGACTTGATTTTAATGAGACTTTTCATTAATTTGGTAAAATTGGAATGCTTTTGAAGAGATGATACCACAAGCTTGGACAATAATAGATCATTTGTATTTCAGGAGAAAATGAAGTTCCATCTGAAGATGCCCTAATACTACAACTGCACCTTGCAAAAGGGCACGAGAAATTCACAGAAATGCTAAAAAGCCAACAGCAGATCATTGCTGATTTGCAGCAAAAACTTGCTGAACAGCAGCACGTGTTGGTTAGCCAGCAACGAGAGATTCTTGAACAGCAAAGGAAAATGTATGAGCAAATGGATCTGATCAAAGTCCAGTATGGCATGCTTTTTGATACAGTGAAACAAATGTCATTTCAGAGTTTGCAAGAAGATATTCAAAATTATTTTGAAAGTCATCTTCATGGACTTCAGAACCAGGTCAGAAATCATCTCCAGAAGTCATACTCTGTGCACAAAGTAGAAGTGGATGCAAAAGTGATTAATGTTGGGGAATCTTTGCTGGACTGTGGCCTTTGTGAAAGTGATGAATTTTGCAATTTCCAAAAGACACCTTCACAATGTGAAAAATGCACATTGTGTCCTGCTGGTTTTTTCCAAATGGCCGAGTGTTCTGCAAACTCTGATCGGATTTGCCAGGTGAAACATAATTCTGTATCTTTCAGTTATTGCTTATGAAGCTTTGTGTTGGACATATTGGGATAACATTCTGGAAATAACTACTTGGAGAGCTAGAGAAATCCAGTTTGGATCATGTGTTTTACCAAATGGATCTCTGGAACTTCAAAGTCTGCCAAAAGGGTTTTTTGTGGGTTTCTTTAGCATTGAGTTGGAAATCAGGCACTGGTTTGTGCCTGTTGAGTGTGACACTTTCCCAAACCTGTCAGCTGGCAGGACTTTGATTCTTTTCATCGTGGTAGGAAAAGACATCCTAAAACATTTAGACTTATGCATGCTAAATTTGTTTATTTAATTCCATTACACACTACAGGAGCTTCCAGACATCTCTGAAAAACACAGGAAAGCTTTATTAAGCATAGGTCAGACATTTATTTACAAGTTTGGAAACAGAAGTTGTCAGTTAAAACAAATGTAAAGACTAGTCCTTCTTAAACATAACATACAAATACACAAATATAGAACATGAATACTTCCATTGTTAAATACATTTTATTATAAAATACATTTTATTATACAACACAAAACTAGCGTGCAAGCAAACTAAGATGGTTCTTTCTTTGCTTTTTGTCATTTAGAAGTCCTAAGACATATGGGCAACTTGATATTTAAAGCAATCTCTTGTTTGCTAAATGTTGCCCCCAATTCTTAGCTTAACATGAGCCTGACCAGCTGAACCAGATACTGAGAACCTGAATGTGTCTGTCCAGTTCCCTGTCTGCTAGCCTCAATTGTCTTTAATGCTAGCATTCTAAGGCAAATGTAGGCTGTTTTTCTTTCCCGTCTGCCTTCTGTAGGGTGAAAGGAGGGGTTGTTGACAGGGAATATTACTTTCTAATTTGCTTTAATGTGTGTTTTGGTTAGCAGCTTCCTCCCAGACTAAATGTCCTTACAAGCAATGTCCTTATGATCAATTGATTGATGCACCACTCCTGGGGATGTGCATCATAACAAGTGTTACTTGTGCAACCCCTCTGTTCAGCTCATCTGCACACTGCTTGCTTTCTGTGCCATCACACAGTGTTTTTGGATACCTGGTTAAAGCAGGCAACAAATCCAAATCAAAATTGTCCTGCTCTAACATGCTTATGGGATCAACCCCTTCTCCATCCCTACATACACCTATTGTGGACAGATGGATGTCACAGAACCTGAAATGCCTGCTTCAAATTTAAGTTGTCATGTTAAAACTGTTTCAATATGATTCTTGTCATATACAGGACAGAGATGAGTGCACTGAATCTCCAAGCATTTGTGGTGAGAGGATAAAATGCCTCAATACTCCAGGTAAGTTATATTCTCTGATAATTAAAGAATGAGGATAATTAGATCTTCAGGAACAGGTCAAAGAAATAGGTAAGGACTCAGGCTTGTATCTTAGTGAGTAGTGATATGTATAGCTTGCTGGAATCAAAGGGGTTAAAAAACACTAATCTGTAAGCTGATAGCAGTTTTTGTGGACAATGGGCTATTTAGGACATTAATATCCTTTAGAAGCACTGGATGGTCCCTTTTGCGTGGGGTTTTATATGCTTTGCTTTTCATTTTCTCTTATGGCTTGACTTTCTTCTTGTTTATGCTGGTGCAAATAGGGCCCAAATCAAAGATCTTATTCCTAATGGAGGAAAATAGTTGTAATTTTCCTTACATAAAATGCACTGGAATAGATACCTGATTTGATCTAATGAAGACTCTTATAAGACCTCCCTCTATTAATCTTACTCTCCTTAGCCACAATATTGTCAAATACTGAGGAAAGATCAAAAGTTTCCATCATTTGAGGACACTTTAGGGGAGTTTTTCAGACATTTAAGAACAAATCTGTCTGGTGTTTTGCATTGCTGACTTCATTATTTCATTTCATTCTCTTGGCAGTCAGACACAAAAGAGAAAAATTAATAGACATACTGAGCAAATTTTATCCAGCTACTAAGTTTCTTTATATTAGTCTAATTTGTGGTCATCCAAAAAACCTTGAAAGGAACTCTGTGATCAAATAGAACATTTTACCAGTTGTGACCTGTACCTGAGGTCTCACAGTCAAGTAATCCACGAAGGGCTTCATTAGATTCTCTGTTTTTCCTCCTCTAGGCTTCTAGACTTGTAAGAAGAAGGTGACCTCTTTGAGGGGCAAAGGGCTATTTTCAGCTGATTGTGAGTGATTTTGTGCCTTTTTTACTCAGCCACTGGTGGAGAAAAATGTGGGATGCTAGGAAAGGATTAAAAGAGGGTGTGGGTTTTCTTATACTGTCCTTACTCCCTCTGGATAGGAATTGTGTTGGTTTGAATGATGTTACTACAAACAGTACAGGAAACTGGACGTGACTTGAAGAGAGCACTTAGTGTCACCTTATGCTGTAAATGCTGCACATGAGGAGGTTCAGTCTTACAGAAGAAGAGGGAAGACACTTTTGGAGAATCTTAGAGGTGGACAGTTGGAGGCAAGACAGTTTAGAGCACAAAATTTGGGCCAGAGCATAGGAAAGGTGTAAGGCTTTGTCTCATCTTTACTGAGACATTGGGTTTGCTCCCGTTGGAGTTTTTTTGGATGGAAGCCCACAAGGCCTCAGCCCTAGGAAAGGAGAGCCACCAGTGTGGTAGCCATTTAGTGTTGCTCTAGTCTGTGGCTTGGAAGAGGGAAGGCTGTAATGAATTTATTCAGTGGGTTCTGTGGAGGAGAACCAGACCAAGAAAGAGTCTGTACAACTGCTGGAGGAACGTGAGGGCAAAACACTGCCAAGAAACAGATGGGCAGTGATGGTTTGTCAGACCACAGAAAGGCAGTAGCAGTGTCTTTGGAAGGAAAGGAGCCTTCCCTCTCTTCCTCTTCTCCCAGTTTTAATGGTAGTATGTAGGTATGTGAAAGCAAGTTATAACCCATCACCTGGACAGGAATCAATGTCCTGTCAATGTTGTTCCCATCTGTCTTGGAAGACAGAGTGTTCCTGTTATTTTTTGTTAGAGACGTTTGCTACTTTCAGCCTGTCTGTCCATGGTAGCTCATTATCTCATACAAGTGTGATTAACGTGTCAAAAGAAAGGCTGAAACTGAATGTCTGTTTTGGGTAAAGACGGGAAGAAGGGGATGTGATGTGACATATGAGTTCCAGATGTTGAATGTGGTTTCTCAGGCTGCACGCAAAGGTTGTTGCATCTGTAGCAGCTCATGTTCAATGTACAGTGTGAGGGGAGACAGAGCAAGTAACAGTAAAGAATCGTGTAACTAGGAGCCTCTCTTTCTCCACCCTTCCATTTCCTCTACATCATACCTTCTTCCTCTGCTGCTTTTTCTCACTTCTGTGTGGAATAAGAATTGTTGATTTATTTAATTAAAGGCTAGTCATTAAGGTTGAAATAACAGTTAGAGGTATGTAATCAGTGAAAATATGGTTTGGTGCATCATTTCCTTCTTAGACAACCATGGGAGGGTAGTCAGATTATTTATCCAGCAAACAGAATCAACCAAAGGCACTCTCCCTGGAATGCCATGCAAAATAAAGAAGACTTACTATATAACTTACTGTGGGATGCAGAGGGAAGAGGAATGAAAACCTTGACAGATACCCCTGATTTGTAATGAACCATATTGATATCTGATGATCCAAATTTGACATAGAGGTTCTAAAAAGTGAAGGATTCCCATACTTAATCTGCCCAAATATAACCTTTGCATCAGACAGTTGTGAGTAGTAGCAGCAGGAAAATACATACATAGCTCACTGTAATTGCCTTGCAATTACCTGGCCTCTGTGAGTGGCAAGGGTTGGGGAATGTGCTGCAGGAAAACTCAGTTCCACAAAGCCAGGTTGAGTACAGCTGGACTGCTTGCTGTGAAACCAGGTGCAGCAGTGCTCAGAGCAAGGAGCCAGGAAGAGATGGCAGAGGTTGTAAAGTGATAAAGAGCAGAGGGAAGCAGTCCCAGCATGCTGCTGTGCTGGTTTTCTGATGTTTGGCTGTCATTTGCTTTGGTAGGGTGCTGCTCTTGCAGCTGTGGCCACAGCAAGAAGCAGTCTGTGTGCTGCTTTGAAGTCACCTATTTGAAGTACACACAGGGGGAACACCTGCTGCAGATCTAACCAATAAAAGACTAGACAGTAAATTAGTGCATATAACCGTCACAAGTATTTGTGAAACGTGATATTTACAAATATACACTAAAATATTTTTTAGAAATGAAGAGCATAAAAAGTGTTCCTAGGCATTACTGAAATTTTCTCTGCTGTGTGAGCCAGCTGTGTGTGTATACTTAGTATCAGTTCATCCAGTATTTCTTAGTGATGGTGGAGCTACTGATACGAGAAATGGTTAAGAAATGTCATGTGAGCAAATACATCATGGTTAAAACTGGTTTCAAAAGGAAAGATTGTCTGTGACTTTTTTCTATACTCCCTCTAGAAGGTTTTTAGTTGAAAAATGTAATCTTATTTATTTGGCTTTTATTTCTCATAAAAAAGACACTTTCTGAGAGGAGCAAAGTGTTAAGTTTCTCTTTACTTTTTTAAAATGGAAAAAATCTTACTGTTCTGCAGGGAAGTTTTTTTTATAAAATGATACCTGATCTTAGAAGGAATATTCTCACATTATAAATGGTATGGTCCTACACATAGGTGTTAGCAGAGAATCATCACTTAAGTGAATGAAGTGTAAATAGACAAAGTGATGTGAGGGTGAATATATGAAGCCTGTATAAATTAACACAGTGTCTGATGTTCTCTGCTGAATAATGCAGTATCAGAAGTAAATTCTAGCCAGCATTCTGACCTCCCCTGTGGGCCAGGTTTGTGTGTAGTTGCAGTTTGCAGCAAGTGTGGTGAGCTTTTCTGTCTATATCAGCAGCTGGAATAGCCAGCCCCACTCTGGGCTAGCAGTGGAGAATCCACACAAATGCTTGTAGTCCCAGTCTTGGAGCAAATCCCAGCCCAGGTACAGAAAGTTTCCACCTAAAGAATAATGCAAGTGTATGACATAGGATCTGTATACTAAATGATATCTAAGAAGATCTATTACAAAGATGATTATTGAGTTTTGATCATGAAGGTAAAAAAGCATAAATGAGTGCATTAGTGATTGAGACACAAATTGCAGGTGGTTATTTAAGTTGCCTCAGATCTTGTGTATTGATTCAGATCCTGAAATCTCCACATACAAAGGTTTTGGGTTCTGGTTGCTCCAGGTGGAAGTGCTGGCAGCTCTTGGAAAATTACCACAGAAAATTGCAGGCTGTTTTTAAAACCTGTTTTTTTGGTGTACATTCTTTGATCCACTGAGGTCATGGCGTACTATTTAACAGCACAAAATTGCTTTATGTCAAACAAACAAATTTCAAACAGCACATATATATTCTCCTCATAGTTTGCACAGTGTTCAACTATAGATTGATCACAACCACTGGTGTCCTGTGTCATAGGGCAGTGGTTTTCCACTTTTTAATGTGTGGGCTGATGCATAATGAATTTAAGCCTGCTGTTTACAGTTTTGGCTTTCCTATTTTTCTCTTGCAGGTTTTTTAAAAAGTATATACGGAGTGAATGCCAGGGGTCCTTGTCCCTTGGGTTCAAAGCACTGCTTTAGCAATCACAGTGACAGCAGGGCTACCCTGTAGCATGGCTGGGCAGGCAGTGCACGTTTCTCCCTGTGTAGGGAAACTCTCCATTAGCTGAAAGGAGCTGCTCTGTGTACCAGGCACTGTGCCTTTTATGTCAGAGAAGGAAGAAATTGTCTTTGGAGCAATATCATTGTATCTGATACGTTGCAAGTTTTGGTTAGAATTGCCTCTAGGTAGCTTCTTTTTCACTCTAAACCATTGTGCTTGGTTGGACCAGGTGAGTTATGCCTAATATTTCCTCTGTAATCTATCAAGTTTCCTTTAATAGTGTAAAGTGATCTAACATCATAACTCTCTTCTGTTTTCTCACTTATGATTAGACATATATCAAAGATACTTGATATGTGGAGCTGTAGCATTTTTATTTTTAGTGTTTTAAAGGTATGACAATAAAACCAGTCCATTTCCTGTGAACAGGTGGTTTCCGGTGCCTTGGAATTACTGAGAAAGATGCAGCTTTGGGAATGTGTGGAGAGGAACATTTCTTCAATAAGGAAATGCAGGAATGCCAAGCATGTTTAAAGTGTGAAGATGGAATGGTGGCCATGCCTTGTTCCACTGTCAGTGACACAGTTTGTTCAGCAGCCACTGAAAACAAACTCTCAGAGTCCTGGGCTGCAAACATCGTTCTACCCTCCATAAAGTCTGGCATCTCTCAGGTCTACTCGGGCTTGAACTTGGAGATAAAGGAAAAGCTTCCCTGTGATATCCTGTCCACTGATGACAGCAGCCTGGTATTCAAGCAACATGGTCTATTGTGGACTGACCTCAATTTTGCAGTAAAGCACAACTGCAGGAATTTTTTGCAACTTTCCTTAAAGCTTAATGGCAGCGAGGAAGACTATGAACTGAGTGGTGTTCGGATTGAGCAGCCAGAAGGAAAGTATTTCCAGAGCACTAGTTTAAGCAGTGTTGCTGAAGTAGAGCCCAGTCAAACTCTTTCTGTGTATTTGAGGAGCCCTAATCAATTCTGCAATCAAAGCAAGGACTTAAATATTTATGATCTTACTACCCCACTGAGTTTATTTTGGTTGTCCCACGACACAGGTGCTGTGGCACTCAGTGCACAGATGTCAACAGCGATGCATTACCAAACCAACTATCGACCTACCTTTAAAATAATTTCTGTTTCTGACCCTTATATGCTAAGTTTATCTCATGATGGCAGAGCTATAAAGTTCACTGAAACTGGTGTTGTCAAATTTGTGTTTCATCAAGCATTGTATTCCATGGGTCATACGTGTGTCCGGGAGGGCTTCTCCCTAATTTCTTATATCAATAGGAATGGTACCAACAGAGAACTGATGAATGTATTTAAATCTGGGGTAAATTACAGAGACACATCTATATCTGCTTCTGGAGCCACAAAGGTTGGTGCTGGAGATCTGGTTAGCTTTGAGATACTTTCTCCTGCACAGTGTAATGTTCGCTATTTTGGAGATAGTTCTGGAATTAGTATGTTTAGCCTTATCTGGATCCCTTCAGCGGTTTCTAGTGCCATATCAGCCACAGTTTCTGTTACAGGTCTGCCTACTGGAGCAGTGAGAAACAAACTACTGGATTTCACCCAGCTCTCATCCAATGAGAAACAGATACAGCTGGTTTCTTCTGGACAGCTTGCTCAGAAGTATTTTATTTTTACTGAAAAGGGAGTTGCCAGCATTGCATTTAACTTAAAGCTAATCCATTCCTGCAATGTGCTCAAAGTGACTCTCAATCAGTTGACCATGGATCACATGCAACCCACAGCAGTTGCTCAGCAGATTGGAGGTCAGATGCCAGAGGGAAGCATATGGACCAGTGTGTCCCTCCGTGCATCTTTTGAAGTACACAATGGAACATTGATATCAGTTTCTCTTGACTGTGTGCGTGGAAGGATCAATCAGATCACTCATGAACATGGAACCAGTATATCTATTTTATGGATTTCAGCTTAATTTCTGCACAGCAAAGTTAGCATGGAATTGGGGTTTCAATTGCATTTGGATTCTACTCTGATTCTATACATATTTGACACTCTACTGTGTTGACTTGAGCAGATCATCCCACAAAATGCTCTCAATTTTAAGAAAATTTAAATATAATTTTAACTGAATGGTTACTATTTAAAGAAAACAAGAGCTTTCAGTCAAGATTTTAATTCTCTTACCATCTTCAGACAGAGGAATGTAGAATTCAGATCATATTGCCTTATTTTAATAAAGCAGTCTCTTAAAATTGATTATTTTTGGACCACAAAAAATTGCAGTTGAGGGTAAATAGCATTTAGTACTGTAACTGAAAGCAGCATGGCAAATAATTGAAACCTGCTTTCATTTTTTTCATGCAACAGACTAATAAAAGGACTAAATGTACTTTGGGGCTGATTTGTTTACATCTTACAAAATGTGCTTTCCATAAATGGAGCCAACATGCCTCAAATAGGTGATAATGTGGCAACACTGGAGTATACATTCTTAATATTGTGGGAAGGGACTGGGTCAAAAATAGAATATTGTTTTTATAACAAAAACAGTGGAACTAGTGACTGCTCTAATTTCATTTGGAAGTAATCTGCATTTAAGTAATTAGGAAGGCTTTTCTCTGTTTTTACTTTTGCCGATGAAAAGTTTCAGAATGAGAAGGAAGGAATCTATTGTAACAAAGAGTATATAGACAAAAAAGAAACAATAAAAATAATGTATTGAAAATTAGACTTCTGAAAATTAAGCAAATTTTTATTCAATTTATTTTAAACAGCAAAATATTTTTCTGATCAAAACCCCCATTATTCACAAGTCTATTTATTTTGCCGAACAGGTACTTACCTTAAAAAGGCTTTTTTTTTTTTGTCAAATCCATCAGTTAATTCAAGGAAATGGTGTATTCATTGACACTAATTTTTATCTTCTCCCAACTCTTCCATCAAACTAATTCTTTCTTTTTCTAAACTATATAGAGTGTTTGATCCCATTTTCTTCTTTCTCCTCTACAGGTGTTTCTTCACTCTCCTTTCTTATTTCTTTTTTTAGGAGTAAATTATGTGCCTTGTCACATCTCTTTCCAGCTTTCTTTCAGCATTCCAACAGAAAGACAGATGTTTGTGTCACAGATGTAACTATAGAAGAAGGACATTAACAATGCACTTGCAGGTTGCCTTAAATTAGCCCTACTGAAAAGAAATATTATGCACAATATAACTTTAATGTGTCTGCCTGAGTATGTATACCTAAAATATATGTACATTGCTGTGTTTTAATATGTTTTGGAGTTTGTTACGCTGTTTTTACTGTATAATGCCTTCTATAATTTGCTGTAATAGAATGAATCCAAGTGCACGACTTCTATCTGGTCAATGTTTTAACTTATGGCATTATAACTGTGTCTTTAACATCTGAAGTTATCTTTCCATCATCCTTTTTTTCTTCAAGAATATGCTCAAGGATTCAGGCTTTCGACAAACTGCTCTCCTGCTCCAAATAGAGAACAGTAATTTTTCTTGCTTTCAGCTGCAAAATCTAAGCAATCTGTCAGAGGACACCTCACTGGGCATTGTGTTGCAGCCAGTGTAAGTACACAAAGCAGTAATCCTGGTGTCCCCAAAGTGTGTCAGTGACAGAGATTTTATTACCTGTGTGTAGCCAGGTTCTCGTTCATTATTGCAAGATCATAAGGAAGGATGCATTAAAACTACTGTTGAAGGTGTTCAGCATTTGCACAATACTATTATCATTACAGAGGACATTTTGTAGTGGTAGAGAAGGACTTCTGGAATGAAAAGCATGTGTATCTGTTGTGTATAGAAGAACTGTGTTACCTGAGAGCAGAGCAGTTTTTCTGGGCACTTCTCTCTTGGAGTCTACTGAGACTGAAGAAAGATGAAATGGCTCAGGAGTTAAAGTTCTTCTGACATACCTATTCTGCTTTCTGTAGAAGGGTGCATATAATGTAGGAGAAGCTCTTCAGAGAGCACACCTGGGTATTTTTATGGTAAGAGTTGAGGGAGAGACAATGTTAGAGAAAACTAGAAATTATAGGCTTGTGTTTTTGTCTTAGAAGTTAAGGAAGCCACTTTCTCACAAACAAAACCCCTTATTATCCTTTGCTGGTTTGAGCTGTGCAGCTCTGTTGAAGTCTGTCACTCCCCAGAATGACAGTTTAGGACTCATTCTAGATTTAAGCCTGTGTAGCAGAGATCAGAATGGGGTGTTAGAAAATTTGGTACATCTTTAGCAAAGTGCAGATGCTACTTGAATATAATAAACATTTGCCTATATGTGACATATAGCAAATCTAATGGCGTGATTTGTATGCGTATGCTTTATTTGAGTGAGATTGTGAGATTAGTGGAGTTAAAAGGAAAGGGAATAATGCTACAATCCTGTATTATGCATGCTGGTGGTACTTGCATTTAAATGCACCATTATTAAAGGATACAGAAGCTACAAGGAAGGTACAAGTGAACATTATTACAACCGAGAGAAGTTCCAGAGTATAAATTCTTCAATATAATAAAACTTTATGGAGGATTTTGTGGGAGTGCCCATAATTTCCCTTAAATTCAGAGTAAGTTTTTAGATGCACAGTGGCAGAAACACAGTAGTTTGCATCCGTGTGGTAGTGATAATGCATCTGATAATGTTTTGCTCATGTTATCTGTGATAAGGCACTCAAAGAGTGAAAAAAAAAAAGTCTTATCCAATATGTATTATTAATTGCAATTTACAGCAAGATTAGCCTTATTTCAAGAAAAGAAAAGGCTGATCATTGAGCCTCTTTTGAATCTCTCCCTTTCGAAAAAAGAAAAGCCTGGATCTGTCATTCAGGGCACTCACTGACCTTGGTTATAGCAACAGGAATTTGAGTGAGTATGTTGGAATCAGTATTCCTAATTAATGGTGTAGTATATAGCCTTTGCATCTATGAAAATGATATATATTGCCTCATACCATGCAACATTAAGTCGTGCACTGTGATCCTGAATAAGATAAAGTTCAAGGGGAATCGGTGCACAATGAATACTAACCTTATGGCACTTATCCCATTTGCTGTAATAAATTGCATGTTTTATTGACAGGTATCTTGTTAATTATATTTACAAATTTTGAACCTCTTAATTTTTTTCCATATTTTTTCTATTAATAGTACAATTTAATATTACAAAGTACAGAATTCATTAAAAAACTTATTTTGCATCTTTTGATACCACATTCATGAGTATGATTAAAATAGCTGGAGACAGGCTCTTCCATCTTTTCTGCCAGAGAGTGTTTCCAAAGGAAGGATTCACAAAGTAACAGAATAAGTATGAGGCTGGTAGAATCTACCTGTACAGAATGAGTTTAAATTAATGCATCCAGGAAAGCAGGTGGTTATTTCACTGTATTATGAAGATAATTGACAACTTGTTGTTATAGAAAAATTGATCATTGCAGGAAGAAAATAATTTAGGTTGTATAGTACTGCTCATACACAAGGAAAAAAGATTTGGCTTACAAAACCTGCATTGATTTGTATTGGGAAACATTTTGCAAGGTCAACGATTTTACCTGAATATATTTATTACCTATGCAAATTTTTTATGCTTTCTGCCAGGTCAAAACTAGGCAGAACATGTGAAGTCTATTTTAATATTACGGATATTCCTCTGTTCTGTGGTCTCTGCAGATTGCAGTACACTGTGAAAACTATACTATTTTCTAGTGGTGCTTTTTATGAAATTTTCTAGTTTGAAATACTACCTTGTTTTAAATATACTGTTTAGACACTTGCCTCTGTTAATATTATATTGTAATGTGTTTTGAGAGAACTTTACTGGGATAAATAAAATCATAAAGCTTCATTGGTATTCTTGTTCTGTTCTGAGGAAGACTAATGGTGGCTCTTGCATTTTTTGCCACTGACTCTTCTGAGGTCAGTATTTCACAGATGTTGCTTGAGTTAGTCACCTGTGCCTGCTGAAGTGGCACTAAACAGGAACATTTGTCTGCCTGCCTTCTATTCCCATGGTTGAAACAGCAGATCTGAGGAGATGAAAATTGTTCTAAGAGCAGTACAGTTTATCCTGGTCATGGCTAGTGCCCCAGTAACACAGAGAAGAAAGATATTTGTCCTGCCTTCATAGGATCTCTGTTGTATGTGAAAGCTTTTATGGTGTTGTGAGGGGTCCAGATCAGACTGTTGCAGTAGCACAGCAATGGTTCTGTCTGTGTCTGGGCAAGTTAGGACTTGTGTTCTCAGTAGAAACTTTACAAGTATTTTAGATTGTACATCTGTTTATTCTTTTTGGGGATGTTATTGTTTATTGGATGTGAACAGAAAGAGAGGTGCTATGAAAAAGGGATTACAGACATCATTAACATACTCTAAATTACCCAATGATAAAATTCATAGGAAGAAGAGTATTTATGAAATACAGTTGAAAGTAGGACCATCCTCCTCCAGGCTGGATCAAAACTGCCTCTTCTCTTCTGGCCTTCAGCAGCTGACACTGTTTATGCCCTTTCCCTAATAGCCCAAACCATTTTGATGCTTGTCTGCTCCCCACAATGGCTCTCTCAGGGTCACCTTACATTTCTCTTCAGGGGTCTGATATTCCCTTGTACAACATGTACAGGTCTAGAAGCACACTGTGCCACCAGCCTGGCGCCCCTTCCTCTGCTGGGAGGGTTTTTCTTACGGTATGGCTCCAAAGATATTGACTGTGTTAGTGGCAGTGCCTGTGCTGCCTGGCAGAAATAAGTAGTGAGTGGGCCCCAAAATAGCTGAGTTGCCCATCTGCTGGACGTGAGCATTTCTCTCTCTCTGTACCTGTCTTTCACTGTGTGATTCTGCTTGTACAAAAGCCAAATGATTGTAAAAGAGGGATCCAAGAAACTAATTTGTATTAAATAGTAGAATTGCTATTGCTAAAACAGTTTCTTGTTCAGCTGCAGTTTGCACAGCTTTCCTCAGCCCTGCCTTGGAGCTCTGCAGGCACATGGTGACCTGCAGGATTGCATCTTTTGTTCACAGGCTCTTCAAAGGGAAACGAGCTGCTCTCCAGACATTCTAGTGCAATCCAGTAAAATGGCATCTCTTGACAGTAGCCTTAAAAGGCTGGATGTTATTTCCTTGCTAGAAGGGTGCTAATGCCTGGCTTTAGCAGAACCTTGAAGTCAAAGCCTGTCATGGCTGTATACATACATATATACATACATACATACATGTATATAGTTATATAATCTTGATCTTGGTTAAATAGCATTTTCTCTGATAAGAGAACTGTGGAAAAAAAGCGTTTTTAAAAGTTCCTGCACCTTCTCAGAAAATCAATGT